GAGAATTGTGCGGTCTGTGTGGTGTGTGTCTGGGAATTGTGTGGTCTGTGTGATGTTTGTCTGGGAGAATTGTGCGGTCTGTGTGCTGTGTGTCTTGGAGAATTGTGCCGTCGGTGTGAGGTGTGTGTCTGGGAGAATTGTGCCTGGGAGAATTGTTGTTCTGTGTGAGGTGTGTCTGGGAGAATTATGCGGTCTGTGTGGTGTGTGTGTCTGGGAGAATTGTGGGGTCTGTGTGGTGAATGTGTCTGGGAGAATTGTGGGTCTGTGTGGTGTGTGTGTCTGGGAGAATTGTGGGTCTGTGTGAGGTGTGTATCTAGGAGAATTGTGGGGTCTGTGTGGTGTGTGTGTCTGGGAGAATTGTGGGGTCTGTGTGGTGAGTGTGTCTGGGGAATTGTGGGGTCTCTGTGAGGCGTGTGTCTGGGAGATTTGTGGGGTCTGTTTGGTGTGTGTATCTCGTAGATTTGTGTGGTCTGTGTGAGGTGTGTGGGAGAATTGTTCAGTCTGTGTGAGGTGTGTGTCTGGGAGAATTGTGTGGTCTGTGTCAGGTGTGTGTCTGGGAGAATTGTGTGGTCTGTGTCAGGTGTGTGTCTGGGAGTATTGTGCGGTCTGTGTGGTGAGTGTGTTTGGGAGAATTGTGCGGTCTGTGTTTGGTGTGTGTCTGGGAGAATTGTGTGTTCTGTGTGGTGTGTTTCTAGGAGAATAGTGGGGTCTGTGTGGTGAGTGTGTCTGGGAGAATTGTGTGGTCTGTGTGAGGTGTGTGTCTGGGAGAATTGTGCGGTCTGTGTGAGGTGTGTGTCTGGGAGAATTGTGCGGTCTGTGTGAGGTGTGTGTCTGGGAGAATTGTGCGGTCTGTGTGAGGTGTGTGTCTGGGAGAATTGTGCGGTCTGTTTGAGGCGTGTGTCTGGGAGAACTGTGCGGTCTGTGTGGTGTGTGTCTGGGAGTACTGTTCGCTCTGTGTGGTGGTTGTGTCTGTGAGAATTGTGCGGTCTGTGTGATTTGTGTTTGGGAGAATTGTGCGGTCTGTGCGATGTATGTCTGGGAGAATTGGGTGGTCTGTGTGAGGCGTGTGTCTGGGAGAATTGTGGGTCTGAGTGAGGTTTGTATCTGGGAAAATTGTGCGGTCTGTGTGCTGAGTGTGTCTGGGAGAATTGTGTGGTGTGTGTGAGGGGTGTGTCTGGGAGAATTGTGGGTCTGGGTGAGGTGTGTAACTGGGAGAATTGTGCGATCTGTGTCAGGTGTGTGTCTGGGATAATTGTGCGGTCTGTGTGGTGTGTGTCTGGGAGAATTGTGGGGTCTGTGTGGTGAGTGTGTCTGGGGAATTGTGGGGTCTCTGTGAGGCGTGTGTCTCGGAGATTTGTGGGGTCTGTTTGGTGTGTGTATCTCGTAGATTTGTGCGGTCTGTGTGAGGTGTGTGGGAGAATTGTTCAGTCTGTGTGTGGTGTGTGTCTGGGAGAATTGTGTGGTCTGTGTCAGGTGTGTGTCTGGGAGAATTGTGTGGTCTGTGTGGTGAGTGTGTTTGGGAGAATTGTGCGGTCTGTGTTTGGTGTGTGTCTGGGAGAATTGTGTGGTCTGTGTTTGGTGTGTGTCTGGGAGAATTGTGTGGTCTGTGTCAGGTGTGTGGGAGAATTGTGCGGTCTGTGTCAGGTGTGTGTCTGGGAGAATTGTGCGGTCTGTGTCAGGTGTGTGTCTGGGATAATTGTGCGGTCTGTGTGGTGCGTGTGTCTGGGAGAATTGTGCTGTCTGTGTGGTGCGTGTGCTGGGACAATTGTGCAGTTTGTGAGGTGTGTGTCTGGGAGAATTGTGCAGTCTGTGTGAGGTGTGTGTCTGGGAGAATTGTGGGTCTGTGTGAGGTGTGTTTGGGAGAATTGTGCGGTCTGTGTGAGGTGTGTGTCTGGGAGAATTGTGGGTCTGTGTGAGGTGTTTCTGGGAGAATTGTGTGGTCTGTGTGATGTGTGTCTGGTAGAATTGTGCGGTGTGTGGTAAGTGTGTCTGGGAGAATTGTTCGGTCTGTGTGGTGCGTGTGTCTGGGAGAATTGTGTGGTCTGTGTCAGGTGTGTGTCTGGGAGAATTGTGCGGTCTGTGTCAGGTGTGTGTCTGGGAGAATTGTGCGGTCTGTGTGAGGTGTGTGTCTGGGAGAATTGTGCGGTCTGTGTGTGTGTGTCTGGGAGAATTGTGCGGTCTGTGTGGTGCGTGTGTCTGGGAGAATTGTGCTGTCTGTGTGGTGCGTGTGCTGGGACAATTGTGCAGTTTGTGAGGTGTGTGTCTGGGAGAATTGTGGGTCTGTGTGAGGTGTTTCTGGGAGAATTGTGCGGTCTGTGTGAGGTGTGTGTCTGGGAGAATTGTGCAGTCTGTGTGAGGTGTGTGTCTGGGAGAATTGTGGGTCTGTGTGAGGTGTGTTTGGGAGAATTGTGCGGTCTGTGTGAGGTGTGTGTCTGGGAGAATTGTGGGTCTGTGTGATGTGTTTCTGGGAGAATTGTGTGGTCTGTGTGTTGTGTGTCTGGGAGAATTGTGCGGTGTGTGGTAAGTGTGTCTGGGAGAATTTTTCGGTCTGTGTGGTGCGTGTGTCTGGGAGAATTGTGGGGTCTGTGTGATGTGTGTCTGGGAGAATTGTGCGGTGTGTGGTAAGTGTGTCTGGGAGAATTGTTTGGTCTGTGTGGTGCGTGTGTCTGGGAGAATTGTGGGGTCTGTGTGGTGTGTGTCTTGGAGAATTGTGCAGTCTGTGTGGTGTGTGTGTCTGGGAGAATTGTGCGGTCTGTGTTGTGTGGGTGTTTTGCTTAATGGAGGCTGTGCATGGCTGAAGGCTGGATAACATCCCTGCCGTGTCTGCTCGCCTGGGGAAGGTGCTGGGTGCTTCCCTCCTTCGCTCTATGGGGGATGCTGCGGGGCCGGCCCAGTGCTCCCAGGCGGGTGCTGAGCTGTCCGGACAGGCTGCCCTGCCGGCTCCTTGCTGCTCCCGTTTGCTCCCCTTCTCGTTGTCCACTGCGGCTCCTGTGCTGTTTCCCTATGCCAGCAGTGCGCAGGGTCCGGCTTCCCACGTCCTCAGGAGGGCATTTTCTGGTTTTCCTTTTGCTGACAGCCCTCCTAGCGGCCGTCGGGCTGTGGTAGTTCCCTGTGAGCAGTGATGTCCTGTCCTCACTGTGGGTCGCTGGCTGTCTTCTTTAGGAAAGCGTCTAATCCAGTCCTTTCCGTTTTTAACTGGATCTTGTGGCTGTTGCTGGGGCGCGTGCAATCTTTATGGACATCCGTCCCATCAGACAGGAGACCTGGGGACTGGTTTCTTTGTCTCAGATTTTACTCCGTCCTTCCGTTCTGTCCTCTCGCTGATGCTGGGGGCGCGGCACAGGCAGGACCCCGGTTCTGGGAACTGAGCACCAACAGAAGGGCTTGCTGGGGTCCCGGAGGTCAGGGCGCCTCGAGGCCCAGCTGGGACCCTCCGCCTCCGGGAAGGCTGGGCTGGAAACCGCGTCTCCTCTCATTTCCTCTGGCGCCTGGGGCGGGAGTCTGGGGGGCTGCGGGGCTGGGGGGACTGGAGGGACTGGGGGGACGGGCCGTGGCGGGGACTGAGGCCCAGTCCGCGGGGTTGGCTGCCTCATTCCACCGGATGAATTGTTCGCTGCGCCCGAGTGCGTGAGGACCAGCCAGTGATTATATTTAAATTTGCTATAATTGATTTGGGGAAGAGCAACTGTGACAAGAACGAATTGATCATTAAATTTATTAGCGAGATAAATTCCGCCGCGATTAGGCCGCTGGCTGGAGCCAGGGCGCAGCGGCCAGGCCTTCCCGCCGCCAAGTCCCCGCGCCAGGCGGCGGTTCGGTTGGGGGGTCACAGGGCGGCGCCTGCGCGCCCTCCCGCCGGAGCAGGACCGGGCCGCCGTGGGGGGGGGGGACCCCCGGGGCGGGGCGGGGAGTAGCCGCTTCGGGCGGACTCACGGGCGTTGGAAGTGGAAGGAGAGACACGGACCGCAGACCAGCTTTGGCCCAGGGCGCGCCCTCCTCCCCGCCGCCCCCTCCTCAGGCCTGGGCGGCCCGACCAGCTGCGAACCCCGTCCTGTCCCCCATGCTCCCCCCAGCCTGTCCCCGGACCCCTCTGGGCCGGGCGGCCAGGCCGCGCCGGCAGCTGCCCGCGGCGCCCCGGCGGCGGGCGGAGGAGCCGCCGGGACCTCAGTCTCCCGCGTGGCCCCGCGCTGTGCCCCCGGAGCGGCCCGGGCGAGATGGAAACGGCGGGAGGCGGCCAGGGAGGGAGGGAGGGGGGCGGCGTCCGCCGTTGTCCCAGGCCGCGCGGCGCAGGCGGCGGCAGCAGCAGCGGGGAGGCCGTCGCCGCCCCGGCCCGGCCCGTGCGGGCGGCGGGAGCGCGCTTTGCGGACCCGCGGGCTTCACTGGGACCCCGAGGAGAGGCCCGCGGGGCCGGGAAGCGAAGCGGGCGGCCGCCCCCGGGTGGGGCCCCGGGAGGACGGGAGCTGTGGCCTCGGTCCTTTTTTTAAACAAAACTTGCCCCCCCCCCCCCCCCCCCGGCAGCGGGAGGCTCCCGCTCCGGGCTCCGGGCGCCTCACACCGTGGCTCCGGGCGCCCACCCTCACCCTCCGCTGCGACTGCGGCGCGGGAGCCCGGCGTTCTGACAAGACCCGGGCCGCTGCCTCCACACTCCCGCCTCCAGTAAAAAACCAATTTATTTCACATCCACCGCGGACGGCGGAGCGGGCAATAACTTAGCATGCACAGCAGACGCCCTGTATAAATACAGATACAAAAATAGACGTGCGGCTCTGGCTCCGGCGACAGGCCCTCCGCACGGCTCCGCAGCCCGTTCCTCTCCGCTCCCGGACGGCCGGGCTCCGGCCCGTCTCCAGCCGCGGGGAGCGGGGCGCAGGCCGCGCGGCGGCTCCGCACACGCCGCCCCGCCCCGACTCCGGGCCGAACCGAGTTCACGTCGCTCGGCCCCTCAGGGCAGGCGGTGCCGCGGCCCAGACCCCGCGCCGGCCGGACCTGGCGGCCGGGACCTACTGCGGCGGCGGCTGGCGGCCCGCCCGGGGCGGCGGGGAGTCGGCCCCGGAGGAGCAGTCGGAGGAGGCGGCGCCGTTGCCGCAGGGGAAGGGGTCCTCGTCCTCGCCGTCCTCCTCGGCCTCACTGTCCCGCAGGCCCCGCGGGCGCCGGCCGGCCTGCTCCCCCGGCGGCTCCTCGGCGCCCTGGTCCTCGGCGCCCCTGCCCGCGCTCGCGCCGCCGCGCTGCTTCTCCGCCTCCTGCGCCGCCTGCTCCTTGGCCTTTTTGCTGCGTTTCCACTTCATCCGCCGGTTCTGGAACCAGATCTTCACCTGAGGGCACAGGGGTCAGACAGGCTCACTCCGTCCGGCCCGGCCCGCCGCCCGGGGGGAGGAGGGGCCGGAGGAGCGGGGCGGGCGGGGGCTGAGGCTGGAGCCGACGCCCTTCTCCCCCGGGCCCCCCACGGGGCTGCGGCGGCACAGGCGGCTGGGCCGGGAAGCTCCGGGCGTCCCCCCTTTCCGGGGCAGAGCTTCCTGAACCCCCGGCACCGCCGCGGGGCGGGGGAGGGTCATAAACGCAGGTCCTGCCCCTCCGGGACCAGACCTCTGTCGCGGGGACGGGGCGAGGTGGAGGCGGAGCGCAGGGGAGGCGGGTGCGGGCGGCGGGCTCACCTGGGTCTCCGTGAGCATCAGCGACGTGGCCACCTCGAAGCGCTTGGGCCGCGACAGGTACTTGTTGAGCTTGAACTGGTGCTCCAGCTCCAGCAGCTGCTGGCTGGTGAAGGCGGTGCGCGGCCGGCGGCACTTGCCCAGCAGGTTGGACTGCGCCTGGGCTGCGGGCGGAGAGGCGTGAGGACCCCGCGTCCTCCGGAGCCGCCGCCTGCCCCTCAGTGCCGGGACCCTCCAGCCTGGAGGCCCAGGCAGACCCGGACGGTGTGGGTGCGGGGACCACATCTCTCTCAGACCCCGGGAGCCATTCACCCGGGCGCCCGCCTCCCCAGGGGCGCGCGGCCCAGGCTGGGAAGCAGCTCGGGCCTGGGGCTGCCCACGGCTCAGGTGCCCGCGGCTCCCGCCCCTTCCCACACCTGCGGGCGTGCGGCTCCCGGTACACAGGGAGCAGGTAGGTGGGCCCAGACAGGAACTGATCCTGGGCCCAAACAGTTTTCATCAGAGTCCTCCCCCCATTAAGACGTTTTTCCCACACACTACCAGCACAGAGAGCCAGCGGGGCTGGGAGCTGGTGGCCTTCCAGGACATTCTCTCCAGGCAAATGTTAGGCCTGGGCAGAAGGGACTTCGCTTTCTCTGCATTCAAGGAGGGCTCTCTTTATTTACATAATTTCACACGGTTACATCAGAGAATTTTATGACCTCAAAACAAGACTTCCCTTGATTTCCCAGGAGCCTGACGAGTGTTAGACAATAAAAGAAAGGAGAAGAAAGGAGGCTGGCCCGCGGAAGGAGCGGCTCCCCGGGGATGGGCAATCTGCTTTATGGGAGGCCCACGCCCCCTGCTTTAGTTAAACAAGGCCGAATTCCCAGCCTGACAGCACATTAGAACTTTAATTAAAACACGGCTCCCGCAGGACCATTTGGGAAATGCCATCCGACAGCAGAGGCGACCAATTAAAGGAATCAAACAGGTTTCCTTCTGGCCAGAGGGGACGGGGTGCGAGGCCCCCAGCCAGTGGGCTAGACCCTGGCCCTTTGGGCTCAATGTTCTAGTTCTTTCTGGCCTTCACACTGCTTGGGTCGGAGCTGGCTGCCTCTGGGTCAGAATGTGGAGCCAGAGGCAGGCTAAGGGTGTTGCAAAGGAATGGAGCTTTCATCTGTTTCCTGCACAATGTTAGGCTCCAAAGCCAGCACCTCCTCATCACCCCCCCACACACACACACAGACAGACACACACACAGACAGTTACACACACACACAGACAGTTACACATACAGAAACAGACACACACAGACACACATACACAGACCCACACACAGACACACACACACAGACCCACACACACAGACCCACACACACACAGAGACAGACACACAGACACAGACCCACACACAGACACACACAGACACACATACACAGACCCACACAGAGACAGACCCAGAGACAGACACACACAGACACACATACACAGACCCACACACACAGACAGTTACACACACAGACACACAGAGACAGACATACACAGACACACATACACAGACCCACACACAGACCCACACAGAGACAGACACATACAGACACACACAGACACATACACAGACCCACACACAGACACACACACACAGACCCACACACACAGACCCACACACACACAGAGACAGACACACAGACACAGACCCACACACAGACACACACAGACACACATACACAGACCCACACACAGACCCACACAGAGACAGACCCAGAGACAGACACACACAGACACACATACACAGACCCACACACACAGACAGTTACACACACAGACACACAGACACACATACACAGACCCACACAGAGACAGACCCACACAGAGACAGACACACACACAGACACACAGACACACATACACAGACCCACACAGAGACAGACACACACAGAGACAGACACACACACAGACACACACACAGTGGGGGACAGCGTCTCGGGCCCTGGGGGATGCAGATCATAATGAGAAGGGGTGGGCTGAGGGATGGCCAGGCCCAGCAGCGTGCACTGGGTTTGACTGACCCTGGACCGCTGCGTCTTAGCAGTGGCAGCGCCCCAATGAGGGGTGAGAGCCAGCCTAGCCTCTGCCTGTGGGGGCTCAGGCTGGAGTAACCAACCGGCCAGGCGGGAGGGCCGGGTGGGTGGTCATCGGGCCTCCGGGAGCCGAGCTGAGGCAGGGCCACGGCACGCAGTGCCCTGCTGGGATTTTTCTCACTGGGCTGTGACTTCTGTGGCCCTTGGGGCCCTAGCTTTTCTCTGTTTAGTCACAGCCATGGCTTCTAACAGAGGAATCTGAATTCTGCCCAGTGTTTATTTCTGTTTTCTCTTTGGCTTTTCCCCTCTACCATGCCTGCATCTCCTCAGTCTAAACAAATCCACTCAGACAGAAACAATGGGGTCTCTTTGTTTGGGTGTTGGGTGCTGGGAGGCATAAAGCCTCATGCATCTTCCTCTGAGCCTTCAGGGTGGGGTCCCAGGACAGAGGGAGACCCAAACTCTCCGAAGCAGCCTGTCTCTCGCCAGCACAGCCAGAGCTGGCCCTGGCGGCAGGGAATGCACCGCCGAAGACAGTGAGCACTCTGCCACCTCTCTCCCAGAGGAAGGTCCCCTTCCTGCAGGGCACCCCCACTTCAAAGTGGGCACGCTGCTAGAAGTCCCCGTGGTGGGTTCCTGACAAAGGGTGCACCCCCTGCCCACAGGGCCCACTCACCACCACTCCGTTCAATCAGGCCACCACCTTCTGGGCTTTGCCCCTGACTGGCGCCCTTCTGGAGGCAGCAGAGCCAGGGAAGGCCGGGGTGGCTGGGCTCTGGCCTTTGGGTCCGGGAGCCCATTTCTCTCCTGCTGCCCCCCATTTCCCTCTCCTGGGCGGGGCCAGAGGCCTGGTGGTCTCTCCAGAACCCAGAATGTGGGACAAAATTAAGTCAGTTTCCCTGGCATTGAGCGCCTGGCTCCTGACCCCCAGGCCGACTGACTCAGGGCGCTCCTTCCTTCCCTGCCACTTCCTTCTCCCCTAGCCGCCAGTTAATCATTAGATTGAGTCTCACACCTCCAGCTGCACCGAGCCGTTGAGAGAAAGAAGGCAAGGCCCGCGCGTGGCCATTTTCCTGATTCTCGCCCATCCCAACCGCGCGTCCTCGCAGGCCCGGGAGGAGCAGGGCGGCCTCCATCGGAGCAGAAAGCGAGGGAGGAAGGTGCCCGGTGGAGGCGGATGGATGCGCAGGAGAGCCAACTGCCAGGAACCTCCTACCCCGTTTCCCCTCCTTCCCGCCGAGGGCCGCGCGGTACTCACAGTTGAAGTCCGGCATCTTGGGCAGGATCATGCCCGCGGTGGACGCGCGCAGCCACTGATCCAGCTGGAAGGTGCCTGCGCCCAGCTTGATGGGGTCGACGGGGTGCGCGGGGTGCGCGCCCTGCACCTGCGGGTACGGGTAGGAGAGCGCCGGGTGCTGGCCCGCCAGGGCCGCCGCCGCCGCCGCCGCCGAGTAGCCGTACACCGGGTGGCCGTAGAGCGCCGCCTGCGCCGGGAGCCCCGCGCCGCCCTGCGCGCCGCCCGGGTGCAGCCCCAGCGCCAGGCTCCCGGCGGCGGCGGCGGCGGCAGCGGCGCCGGGGTGCGCGTGGTGGGGACCCCCGGGCCCGCCGCCGCCCGCGCCCAGGAAGCCCGGCTTGGGCAGCAGCGCGCAGTGCGCGGCGAGCAGCCGCGGCGGGGACGGGCTCTCGGCGCGCAGGCGGTCGGCGGGCGCCGCGGGCGGCTCCGAGGACGCGGGGCTGCAGCTGCCGCTCGCCCTGCCGCTCGCCCCGCCGCCGCCGGGGCCGGCCGCCGCGGCCGCGAGCGACGTGACTAGGGCCAGGGGCGCGGGCTGCGCGGAGGCCGCCCGCGGGGGGTCCACGGCCAGCAGCGCGTCGATGCGGAAATTTTTGGATTTTTCCATCTGCGCGTTGGCGGCTGGCGGTCGGGGCCGGCGGCGAGTGGCGCGGCCGTGGGCAGCTCGCGGAGCGTCGCGCGGCGCGGCAAGCCCCGGGGCTCGTATTGTCAGGGCGATTATCTGCCAATAATCAAAGTCGCGCCGCAAACTCAGCCGAGAGTGACCATGTCCGAAGCCGCCTCCGCGAGGGCCCCGCCCCGGCCGCGCTCGCACTGACTCCACGCGGGTGCGGGGCGGCGGAGGCGCGGGCCGTGGCGGGGACCCGCGCCCCTGCGCGCACTTGAAGCGCAGCGCGGCCGCGGATTGGCGCGCGGCGGGCGGGCGGGGCGGGGCCTGGCCATTGGCCGCGGGCGCACCTGTCACCGCCGCCCCGCCCGCGCCGGCGCTGCCGGCTCCCAAACCGCCCGGGGCCCGCCGGCGGCGGGAGGGACCGGACTAGGGCTGGGAAGCTCTATGGTTCCCGCTCTCTTTCCTGGGGGCGCTGAGCAGGACGGCGGGCGCTGGTGATCCTGGGTCCCCGCGGGGGTGGGGGTCCTCGACTACAGCCCCTGGTCCCCCTCTGGGCTCGGGTCACCCAGAGCCTGCAGGGCGCCTCCTCGGTTTGCCCACTTCTCCGTGGGGAGCCCGCGCTGCTGTCTGCACCGGCCGCTCTGCCCAGAGACTGCGGAGCAAAGAGGACCGGCGGGGTCGCCAAGCCTGGCTCCAGGGGCTCCGCAGCGCGGAGCGGTCCGTGCGGTGGCCAACCCCCTGCGGGTGTAAACGCCTTCCCTCCTCTGGGCAGTGCCCGCGTCCCAGCTGCGGTGTGCGGGCCAGTGTGCCTTCCCCGCAGCTGCGGGGCCCAGGACGCAGGCGGGGAGACCTGTCCTGCCGGGAGCCGGCATGCAGGAGCCAGTACCCACGGGGCAGTGCTTGTCCGGAGGTGGTCGCTTGGACCCTGGCACGAAAATGCTGTCCAGGTTCGTTCTCCTGCTCGCAGCGCCCTGGAAAACCAGCCAGGCTGGGCCGGGCTGTGGAGTGAGAGCCCAGACCCCTCCCCCCAACATACGCCTCAAATATTTACAGTAAAGCACTTTCAAAGCGCTTTTTTAAGCGGAAAGAATCAACAGGCAGGCGGCCCCAGGCTTTGTCAATAGCTGGGTTAGACCCAGTTATCTCCCCAGACAGGTGTGGGAATGCAAAGCGGGGCAGTTTCGGGTTCTTGAAGTCCGGCTTCCCAGGCAGCTGGGAGGTGAGGAAAGGGCAGGAGGCGGGGCACAGGACAATCCCCAGGAAGCGTGTCAATGAGCAGGTCGTTGCTACAAGAGGTGTTTTAAAAGGTGAATTCCGTGGGGTGAATTCTGTTGTGTTTATTCCAAAGGCTTTGCCTCCCTGAGAGCTGGCTGCAGGATTCTATCATCAGAGCCAGTTTCTCTCCCCTCGCACAGGGGCGGCCAGAGGGGCGGCGGGCAGAGCCAGGAGGTGGAGGAGCTGGCAGTGCTGGCAGCACCCCCCCCCCCAGGCAAGTGAGAGAGCGCTTCACAGAAGCTAGTGCCAACGTGCAGACAGGAGTGAGCATTGACACTGACCGGTGTTTGTCGTTAGACGAGCAAATATGAATGCAGCCCAGCGGCTAAGTGGACAGAGGGAACACTACTGCATGCTGTGACAGTCTACAATGGTCTCCTTTCGTCTTCACTGTGACACTAGAAGGATGCTGTCACCTCCCCTTTACAGAGTCCAGCGTCCAGAGGCTGAGACCGTCCCCCACAGGCCACCACCCCCACAGGCCACCACCCCACAGGCCTCCACCCCACAGGTCACCACCCCCACAGGTCACCACCCCCACAGGCCACCACCCCCACAGGCCACCACCCCCACAGGCCACCATCCCCACAGGCCACCACCCCCACAGGCCACCATCCCCACAGGCCACCACCCCCACAGGTAACAGAGCCTCAGAGGTGGGATTGGGCCCAGATGTCACAGCAGGGGCCACACGTTTCTGCCTCTGCCCTCCAGTGTCCCCATCCCTGTCCCCCCTTTCCTTCCATCTGTTGCCTTTGGGGTTCCAAGCTCCCCTTTCTGGGCAGGACACGCTTCGCTCTCCAGGGAGAGTGTCTCCCTGCCCCCGGGATGGAGAGGGCAGTGGGGCCCTCAGACAGGCCTTACTCCGTGCTGAGACTGCAGCGGTCCCACCGGCACAGACTCTGGGGCTGGGTGGGGTGACTAACCCCCCCTTGAACCTGGAGCTCACCGCCCTCTCTGTTGGGCCCATTTAGTTGGGAATGGGTGTGCAGTGTGCACTCACCATACACAGCTTTCCTCACAAAGCCGTTGTTTTAGTAACTCCCCGAGGAATGCATTCATCCTTTTTGTTTCATAGTGCCCTCGCTCTCAGACCCCCAAGTCCCCGCTCCCGCTCCCTGCTCCCCGCCCTGCGTCCAGCTGCGAGCAGTCAGGGGCCACAGCTCGGGCTCATCTGGTTCCACATCCACGGTGGGCCCAGCTGCCCCGGCCACCGCCCTCCCGCTGCGCCCGCCTGTGCCCCGGGAAGGTGTATTTCTCTGTCTAGAGAGGTCGGCCTGAGGCCCAGTGGACTCAGTGGCGCTAACGGACTTTAAAGTGGCCGCACTGGCCTGTGGAGAAGGGAAGTTGTGGCGGTGGGTGTGCAGCTGTGGGAGGGCAGCTCTGGGAGCTGGGGTTTGCTCCGGGCTCAGCACCGCCTTGTGCAGCCCGCGCTCTGAGGAAGGCTGGGACCCGGAGCGGGGCTGCAGGAGAGCTGAGGTCGGCCCAGCGGCGCGGCCACCCCAGGCTCCTCTCAGGCAGCCTCTGGGCAGGCGGCCATCCCCATCCCGGCGGCCCGCCCTGCTGAGCCCCAGCCCCCGCCCGCCCCCGGCCTCCCTGTCCGGCGGCCTTCCCGTGAGGCTCCCAGCGCCTCCCGCAGCACCTCTCCCTCTGCTCAGGAGGGAACAGGTTTACCCAAACGATCCAAAAGAAAAGCTGTTCCCGCTGGAAAGATTATATTTATATTTATATCTTTAAAGGTCAGGGAGATGCAGCAGAATTTAAGTGTGTGAAAATCCAGCAACCTCGGAGCCTCTGTGTTTGGAACCTCCGATGGGAGCGGCACCGCGGGGCCGGGCCGGGCCGGGGGCTCCGGGAAGAACTCGCCTTCCCCAGCGGGGTTCCGCACCGAACCCGGGCCGGCCCGTCCTGGGGGAGGTGCGGCTCAGGGCCGCAGCTTACCCCTCGGCTCTGCCGGAGACGGCGGCGCAGGCCCGGGGTCAGGGCGGCGGTGGCCCCGGACCCACAGCCGGACTCCCGGGGAAACGCCGGCCAAGGGCGCGGCGGCCTGCGGTCCGGACCGGCTCCCTCCGGCGGAGCGAGCGGGGGGACCGGGTCCAGGCCGCTGCGCCCGGGGCGGAGGCGGGGGCGCTGGGGGGGCGGGGCGGGCAGGGCCGCGAGGTGTCCTCCCCCGTACCCCCCGTCCCCGCCCCCGCCGGCCCGGGGCCAGCGCAGCACCGGTGAGCGGCGCTTTGATCTGCTGACCTGCCCGCCCCGCGGGGCCTCTGCAGGGTCCGCCCGAGGCTTCCGCTCCCCCACCCCGCGCCCCGCCCTTTGCTCGGGTTTGGGTCCCGCGGTCCACTGTCCTGGGCCCGTCCTCTGCCCTCTGCCCTCTGCCCTCTGCCCTCTGTCCTCTGCCCGGCCTCCTGCAGACACCCAGTGGACTCGCTTCGGGGGATGGAGGCTGCTGCAGGATTTAGATGCAAAAATCCACCTACGGGCTTTCTGGTTTTGGAAAATCCTCCAGATACCAAACACCTGCTTTCTGCTCGGACCCCGGACACGCAGGCCGGGGCGGGCTGGGCGGCCGGGCGCTGGGCCTGGGTGGGCGGCACCACCGCGGCAGGTTCCTCTGGCCCGGGAGCCCCAGCGCCGCCACGGCCCCGCGCTCTCGGCTTCCGAAGAGGAACAAGTGCCCCAGAGCCCGGAACCGCCGGAGGAGACTTTGCTGCAGATTTTAGTTTATTCGTTGCAGGTTCACACTGCTGTCAGGAACGAGCTTTCCGCACCCGCCGGGCGGCGCCCCTCCCCAGGCCACCCTGCCCGCAGTTCCTGGGAGCGGCCTTGAGGGCCCTCACCTAGGACCAGACCCCCAGGGCCCAGGCAGCCGGCCGCCGGCGAAAATGCGGGCTGAGGGTGGCGTTTGTGAGCCTGTGCGGCTTCTCTGCCCCCCGCCCAGCCCAGCCCAGCGGGAGGAGGATGGCGGGCGGCTGCAGGCTGGGGGCACACTGGGGAAAACACAATAACAACAGCCCGGGTTCCGACTTCGCGCCTCAGTGCCTGGACTTTTTAGTGCTTCTGACGCGAAATTATGGCCGAATGGTCGCGCTAATGTGCAACTCCGCGGCGGGTAATGGCAGGAAGTCGTTGCTAATTGGTCTATTTAGCAGTTGCTGAGGTGGCAGAAGCAGTGGCTGCGGAAGGGAGGGAGGGGTGAGGGAGGGAGAGGGAGAGGGGAGCGTGACGGGGCCTGGAGGGGAGACTGGGACGGGATCTCCTCCCAAGATGGGCAGAAGAGGTCAAGTTCACCTTTCAACCCTGCCCTTGCCTCTTCCCACAGACACACATCCAGGCCAGGGTCAGGTCTCAGGCCGGTGGACCTGGGAGGTCCCCATATGCGAGCGCGGGCTGCTTTGCCAGGGTCCTTTCCTCCTGGGCAGTGGGAGCGGCGCCTGAGGGGCAGGTCTGTCAGGAGCCCCTGCCGGACCCCCCCCCCCCCCACCGTTTGAACAGGGGGGACTTCACCCAAGAGGAGCCTGAGACCCTGAAGCGGCAAACACACACACACACACACACACACACACACACACACACACACACACAGTAAGTGGGAGGGGAGTGAAGCTGCACGACCCCAGGGTGCCCAGTGGCCCCCAGGACGCCCCAAGCGGTCGGCCGGCATCCGGTTTCCATGGCCCCATACAGCCAGCCAGCAGCTGGCACACCTGTGGGAAGCAGGCCCT